AGTTTATACACTGGAATCAGCTTAGTGACTCTGATTCTGTTAGAACACTTATCTTACTGAGATACTAGGGGTAAAGAAAATCTGAGTGGCATGGACAAAATAGGGAATGGCTGTTTGGTATCTCTTGCAGTACAAGAATTAGGAGGAGTTACGTTATAATAGCAGGTAGCAGGTTCAAGCAAACAAAAAGAGGTGTTTTCTCAACAACTGACAGAGGCTGTTGTGTTTGTTAAAAGTTTACATTGATCCTAAAAGTGACTGGAGAGTTCTATGAAAGAGATACAGTGAAGGCTATTAAATACAGAGGTAACATCTTCTGTCTTGAGCTACAGATCAGTAAAGGCTGGGAGAACATTGTGGTATAATGTTAGTCATATTATGTGGAAATCACAAAGGGTGGTGTTCTGCATACATGGCACTACAGAATATACCTGAAGATGAAATGGTCTAGCAACATTAAAGGCATTTCACAAGATTAATTAATACCATTCATTTCATAATATTAATTAATATTAAAATGCCTCTTTAGGTAATGGAATCTGGTTTAATTTGTGTTCTTTTGTGTCAGCAAAGTATTTTGGTATCTATAAAAAAATCCTGGATTCCTAGAATACAGAAACAAAAAATTAACAATCCTTAGACACCCATGCTTTTTGTATAGGTTAGATTAGAATTGCACTCATATCAAATATCCAGTCTTCAAGTACTGAGATAAATGTTTTATATCCTTATTTGCCCCACTAAAATTAATATGTATGTTTTGAATTATTCATATAAAACAGAAACCAACTAATTTTCCAAATGAAAATATCATCTGTACAGATCATGCTATTAGATCAAACATAATCAACTTGTTAAAAAATATTAGTGCTGCTAACTTTTATTCTCTTTCTCACCCTTCCCTCTCCTCCTACTCTTAAAAGACCATCCTGTTTTCTTTACAGATCATGCCACTACAAAGGGTTTCAGTTCTGTACCTGTTCCTTTGCATTTGCAGATACTTTATGCTTTTCAAGTCCTACTGAAACTTCTTTCATGTTCAACTCTGTGAAAGCCTTATTTCTTAATCATTGCGTGTTCTAAGCACACAACCTGAATTAATCCTTTTCCTGTTTTTGTTATGTAATGACATGGGTAGATCCAATGGTGAACAATCACAAATACCATGAAAAAGGCAGCTGAGGGTCACACGGAATGTTTAATCTTTATTGCTAAAGAAGAGGAAGTATAGGACTCAGAAGTGTCCTTTCTGTGAGGAGTCTCGTAAACTGCTATTCATCTGCCTGATCTGCTGTCCACTGTGAGACAGTGGACATTTTACTACTTAAACCTGTAAGAATGTTTAGTACTACTAATAAAGTATGTTTAGAACTTACTAAAGTGATTGGAACCTTGGATTAGCACAATGAAGTTTAAAATAAATGTTTGTATAATTCTGGCAAGTAGGGAATTTGGTATTTCCTAATTTTCATGCTATAAAAAGGGTCTTAGTAGTTTTCTTACCTCTAAAAAAGTAAGAATTGTCTTCACAATATGTGAATGAAATATCTTTCACTTATGTCTGTAAAGTAGGAGAGACAGATGTGGAATCTGAAAATGTGAAGTGGATCTCAAGAGACTCCTGTCAGCATTATCTTGTCCCCCCTGCAATGCTAACAAAGATTTTCATAAACTCAGTTCATTTCCTAGGTGAGTAGTGTGTACCCTTCACTGAAAAGCCACAGAACTATAAAACGTGGCAGTGAGTTCCCCAATCATCTTCAGAAGATCATATCCACCTAGAAAATGAACACAAAAGCCCAAACTGTGGGAACTGAAGAACTAGAACAGTCATGCTTATGGAACACATTGGCCTTAATTTACTCTTCAGTTTTTGTCACCTGGAGTTTTCTAGATTGAGCATGATATCAAGACTGGATTTAACTTTTAGAAATGGTGAAATGCAGCTTTTTGCCTTTCCGTTCACACCTGCTGCCGTAAGCACTGGTCTTTCCTTACAAAATTAAAAATGTCCATTATCTGGAAGTAATGCAGTTATGCAGAAATACAGGCTTGGTATTGGCAAACCATAGCTGAAATTCTGTGGAATATCAATAAAATTAATATGAAATTTGATTCCTGAGTAGTAAGCAAATCTGGATATGAATTCACTGTGAAGGTCTTGGCTACTAAGTAGCTTTGAAAGTAGTCAGGGAGGCTGATGTTTGTCAAGTAATTGTTGAATGTTATGCATTCAGTAAGCAGATATTGTATGGAGGAAGTTTTAAGTTACATTTTATGATAACAAGTTGTTGAAGGTTTATGGAAACAGCCTGGCTAATTTTATACACATTATTTGGAGAGCATCATCATGGAAGCAACGAACGAACATAATTTCCTTTTCCAAGGAAAATGGTTGCTGCAGTAGAGGTAAGAGGTTGCAATTATAATGACAAGCAATTGAGATGATTTGAAGAGAATGTATTCAAAGTTAAATATTTCTGAAGTTTCTGTATTTTACGTATGTGAACTGTGGAACTACTTCCCGAGCTTGCCTTTTCTCCATAATTAGAAGCAGGTTACATTGCTTCTGGTTGATAAGCCATTAGTTATTAGTACGGTGTTAAATTTGCCCTTGTACCAAATGACCCAAAGGGGAAAAGCTGTCTGTTTGATTACAATAATAATAGCTTTTAACAATTGGATTTACTTAGCTAGATGTTAATTGATCCACTTACAACCTTCTGCAAAAAGAGTTTGTGAATGTTACACAAGACTGCAGGGAGCTGCAGGCAAAAATTAGAAGACATCTGGTGAATTAAGGGTTAGGAACCACCAACTTCTATTGAAGGAAAACTACATTTCAAAAAACGTCTCAGTCAGTGCTGAACATTAAAAAACATTATGCAAAGTTTAGTTGTGGATAGTGGTGTGAACCATCTCTTTATTGTGTAGTTTCAATTTTCACATGAGAAGGAAAATATAGGTGGTCTGAAAAAATTAAGATCTGTTATAAATCAGAAGATGGAGTTCATTCCTTATTTTCCATTGTTCTCTTGCTTTCCTTGGGGCTGAAGAGTGGAGAGATAACTGGAGGGTGTGCATGGTTATGAAATCAATAATTCAGAAACTTGAAGGAAAGAAGTTTCTGTATCCAATAATCTTTCAAGAAAAACAAATAACTGATGCACTGAAATTTGACAACTGGGATATCCCCAACTTTGTGTAAGGTGATAAATAGCATTTTAAGTAGACAGCTATTTGCAATTTCACTTAAGCAGACCAGTGTTTTTAACCCAAGATACACAGGTTTCTGATACTTTTCCCTCCCCCACAACCTTTCTATCATCTTATTTAACTGTAACCAGTTTTGACCTGTCCCACTCCAAGTACAAGAAAACTTAACCACCATTAATTGCTGGTCTGTATATTGGTCAGGAGGAATATCCATTTAGCTATGGAAACATAGCTAGATGGCTAACACACTCTTCCATGAGAGAAAAATGGCTTCTGCATGCATCTGGTTGGCTAGGCTCAAGTGTAATTCCCAGAGTCTTCCTTAGGCATGAGTATTACGTATTGCCAAGAAAAAAATTACAAGGGAGCTTAAAGTAAACAATTGATTTACATGTCTGTAATTCTAAGTAGTATGAGCCACAGCAATAGTAACACAAGAATTTACCTGGAGGGGGAGTATTTTTCACCTGTGTATCACATGGGGATGCTTGAATCTTAATGGATAATATTTTCTGTGTACTTTCTGATGTAAAGTAAAAACCAAAACTTTACAAAATTGAATTAGATGTCCATTATAGCACATCTGGTGCTACACCTACAATATATGTAGTACGGCTGAAATACCATAGTTCAGAAAGTTTATCATCCCTCATGTACTAACTTTATAGTTTACAATGACTATTTCTGAACCTCCATTTCTTCATGTTAGATCAGGCTGCTAGCTTTTCTAAACAGGCTTAATAATAGTGTGTATTTTAAAACTGCCTCTGGTTAGTAGAGAATGGCACATCTGTTCCCATTTACATGTCTAGAATTTCTCTCAGTCTTGGCGCTGGGTTCCCAAAGAAGGCAAAAGCAATGCTATGCACAGGAGTTGCAGCAGAGGAGGGAAGGATATGTTCCCACTTTAGAACACCTCAGGCTCTGCCATGGCAACTTCCCCACTGATTAAGTCCCTGAAAATGGCTAATAACAGTTGTTACAGGAGACACTTGCAGTACTGTGTCATGTGCTAAAAAGGTCTGATCCAACCAAGCACCCTGTATCCTTGTGTCTTTTTGAACTTGACGTGAAATAGTGGTGCTAATTGTATATCTGGTGTGTTGGTAGACTGAAAATATGACAGTTTGGTTTGCAAATTACTATAACTAGTGATTAAATCAGCATTGGAAACTGCTAGGCCAATGCTTTGTTATGCACTTGGTCTGCATAAGAACATGAGGACTATGATGGGTCGTAAAAAAATCTGCAAATGATATTGTACAAAGCAATGCTAGTCATATCTTTTGTGTGGTGTGTGTATGATTACATACAGTTTCTAGCAGTGATCTTACTATTAGTTTCTCCAGAATAAGAAAAAAAATGAATGGGCAGATACTGGCTAAAGCATTTAGAAAAGAATTGCCCCTTGGCCATGCTTCTGTAAGTACTGGTTTTCCAGACTATTGATCCATACCTTTACTTATTTTGAGAAATCAGATTTTTATTTTTGGTGGAATACTTTCAGTGAAGTACTGCTCCATTGGAGCTGATGGTAAAATTCTCACTGGCTTCAGTGAAATCAGGATTTAAGTGTAAGCCACATACTACAGCTCTCATTTGCTTCCCTGCAACTACAATTCAACATCTGAAAACAAGACTACCTGAAGGCCCCTTGCTAAGGCTATGGAAGGGTGATTTCCGTTATAAGTAAAAAATTAGCTCACAAGGTCTTAAACTCCAGTATCTTGTTTTATACCAAGCAGTCCTATTTTGGTGTAGTCAAGAATTATGGTATGCACACATTTATAGTGTTTAGTATCTTTAATTGGCATTTCTAAAAATAGTTTCATTTGCAGTTACTTCTTTAAAATGATATGTTAAAAATATTTTATTATAACTGTACAGTTCTAATGTGATCTTCATTTCTGTGTTTGCTCTCATCACTGATGATGTTCACTATTAGCATTTGGAGATTTGGTGGTAAAAGTCTGTAAATTCTGCTCTTCTTCACTTCTGTATCAGCAGTAGGCTCACTGTACCTTCTTAAAGACCTGCTTGCACTTGACTCCACACACTCTTATTTCCTAGGAAGAGAAAACAATTTAAAAATACAACTTTTACATAGGACGCATGCATTATACGTTAAAGTGTATGTCCAGCTTAATTTGAATCCACAATTTTCTATCAAATTAGATTGTACATATTTTAGCCTATTTTTAATCCTAAAAGAAACCAGCTGGTTTGAGTTTGTTTTCTGGTGAAAGCTGGATTAAGAGAAGTTATTTTGGGATCTCAGATCTTAAAGGACCAAATATGTTCCTGGTGCATTATTCTCTACTTCCAGTGTGTGCAATTGCGTAGGTCTTTGAAATGGGCATTTTTTATTTTGGACAGATAAAGAAGTTATTTGGGGATGGATCTGAATAACCAGTTCTGAATCAGTATGTTGATGACTGGTAGTTCAAACCTACAAAACCAGAAATCAGCGGAAAGCCCACTCTAGCAACACAATGTTCATGGCTAGAAAAGGACAGGTAGTTGTGTACACAAGATTTGATCTAGGTCTATAAATCACAGCACAGCAGTGAGTTTTGACTGAACTTGACCGCACTGCGTGCCTAATGCTGTCTACTGTTCCTTTGTGTTCCATACGAGCTTTTCAAAAATCTACTTGCTAGTCGTTGGATCATCGTGAACTGTGCATAAGCAGGTGCAATGATGTTTACAGCTTGGGCACTGATTTGTGAGGCCTACAGTTGTTTACCTAATCTCACTGAAGACGCAGTTTAATCTTCTCCATTACTGAAACTACTTGTTAGACCTGAGAAGTGCACACAGTATGTGTGGGGATGTGTGGAGGTGTTGACTGGTTTTGGTGGAAGAAGAAGAAAGGGTGGAACTTCTTAAGGGACATAAAGACAAAGGTTATGTATGACCTAGCAGGGGGAATGTACTTTCTATTTCAAGGTAAGACTTTTAATAAAGCTGTCAGAATATTTTGAGGAAACAGGAGGCAGAGTTTCTGTGCTGGTTTTGGCACGACAGTTTCCTTGGAAGTTATGCATATTTTCTTATGGGGGACTTTGATAAAATGATATATTAAAAAAAACTTACACTGAGTCAATAACCTTTTTGGCATATGTTGCTAGTCCCTAGTAAGAGAAAGTGCTTCATGATGAATTGATGAAGCAAGCAGACTGATACAGTGATCTTAGTTAGGACCTGTTTTGTTCACTTCTATGTAGGTAACCTGGAAGAAGGCGTGTGTAATAAGGACTAAGAGATCTGCTGGCAGTGACAAAAACCTACAGAGCAGAAGCAATCAATACAATAGAAAAGGGCAATAAAGCTCAAAAGAAAATGGAGAATGGTCAAATAAGTCACTCACATAAAATAGAATCTAAGGAGGAAAAAGAACTACAAAGTACAGACCATAAAATGAAATGGAGAAAATAGGAGGCGAGAACTACTAAAGGATGTGGCACTACTCTCTACAGAACTGTGGAAAGAATTAAATTAACACTTGGCTCATTGTGTAAAGTTCAATAGGATCATAAAGCTATCGAAGTATCAATTTTTTAGCGGTAACTGCCCATTGTACCAAAGGACTCTCAAGAGTACAGGACCTACTAATCTTAGCTGGTCAAAAATAAGATACTAAATGGGACTCTTTTACTGTATGTTTAATGGAGAGAGTTACATTAACAAGGATTCAGAGAAATAAAGAGGACATCTTTTGAAGTTCATGAAATATAAAAAGTGATGAAATTGAAATATTGGGGACTGGTCTCTAAAATACTTGGTTACTTCCTTTGCATGAAGTAATTTTGTACTGACTGTTGTGTACATGAGAGGCAGATTGTGATAAATGGTACAAGCGCCAGTGAGTGCATGGATGCCTGCATGAGCTGGCAGGTATGATACAGCCTTCTGAAAAAGCAGCCTCAGATCAGTCAGGTTACCTTGGGGTACCTAAAGTGGCACTCGACTTCTATGTTTGAGCAACTGAATCTGAATTTATGACTTCTAAAATCAAGCTCTTGACAGGGTCAAGTATAGAAAGTGGTCTGGCCTGGAGGTCCGTGGCTAAGTTGTATGGCTAGAGCATGAATCAGAGTAAGGATAGCAGAAATCCGGGCTAAAGAAATTGGTGTTGGGGACAAACAATGGGAAGAGAGAATGACTGCGGAGCTGAGAAGGGGCAGAAACCAGGATGCTGATACAGAGAAATCCAAGAGCAACTAGTGCTATTGCTTCATATATGTGCAGATGAGTGCACGTATGTGTATGAGTGCAGGAAGGTGTAAGCTGAACTTCTAGGCCAGACATTGTATGGCTAATTGCAACCTGTTTGCCAGCAGAGAATCTGAAAGGGCTGATGCTTGGTGTCATGGCACCATGAAGCTGGGAGGCAGTGTGGAAATACTGTAGTGTGTTTGTATATAGATAGAGGGAATATGTATACACAGGAAATTCTGGAGTCTCCTTTTTATTGCTTCCCCCCTACTTTCAGTGAGCCCATGGCCTCAGCTATAAAGTGATCACTTACTTACACAGTAACTTTCTCCCTACCTGCATTATATCAAGTATGTAGTCCAGATGGTAAGACCTGTCATACACATTCCTTTCCCAAACTGGTTTCTGGGACTTCCAGTACTTCCTGAAAATTGTGTTTAGTAATAAGAGGTTTGGGGTACTTTTGCAAAGATTTCATAACTCTGCTACAGATTTGATTATTTAGAGAACATCCATTTAGACTGCTGAATGCTAATAGTACTGAACGGTGAACGGAAATGGAGGTTGGATTTTATTAAAAGCAGGAAGACTGCCTTTTACCCACACTGGTGAGAGAGTGAGGACGCTATGAAGAGCTATGTGAGAAAAGAACAGGCATCCTTTTTCAGGTCCAGTTAACTTAGAAAGGTAAAAATGATGATCTGAAAGAACATGACATTTCAAAAACTTAATTGCTGTTTTAGTTCTCTAGGCTGTAACGCAGTCTGGCCTGTAATTATTTTAGAAGAACAATGGTGTATTTTCCCTTTATGGCTTATTGTTGGATGCATAATTTCACCAGCTCCCATGCTGCGTATTTCACAGACTGCATGAAGGACATTCTGTTAAATGTCTTCCTCAGTGTAGACGTTTCAAACTGGTATGTCTGGACAGACAGTTAACACAGAAAGAGTACTGCTCTGAAATCAGGCAGTCTTTGTAAGGGACATAAAAGCATAATGGCTCCAAATGAAATTGTTGCTTTAGAAACAAGTGCTGCACCAATACATAATTATGTCAAAATAAGCCAAGATAACATAGCACACAGCCTGCTGCGTTACATCTAACCATTTTAACAGAGTGGCATTTAAAACCTGTTACATGATCTTACCAGATGCATTTCATCTCCTTCAATCCACTGGGTCCAACCACGACCTTCTTTTTCTCCATTCTGCACACAAAGAAGCTTATCTCCATCCCAAGATACGGTGGTCTAACAAAATAGACATATTCAGTGTTACTGTAGTATTCTGTGATATACTGATTAGTTTCCTTAAAGCAAAACTTCTCTCTAATATAATAAATGATTAATGTATCTCATAGGAAGAATAACTGTAGAGTGTTGTAACACTTAGGATAATTAACAAAAGAAATGAGCTTAAATAGAAAGTTGCTGCCCAACTGCCTGTCAAAACCTGGAAGGATGAGATAAAGCTGTTTAAATAAAAGAAAAAAAATCATAAAAATCATTGTGTAAGACTGCACTCCTCTCTCCCTGCTAACAAATATGGCAGCAGAAGGGATGCACAGCCTCACCCTGTATTTGCAAAAGGAGCTGAAAACTTGAGATTCAGTTTGTTTTTTCCACCATAAGAAGGATTGCCCAGCTGCTCTGCCTGAAAAACTACCCACCTACTGGCAGCTATGGATGAACAAGGGTTTTAAATCCTGAGCTGTTTTTCCCCATGTTTTAATCTGCCTTCCATCATCAGCAGCAAAGTGATAACTTTGCCAGCATCCTCCTTTGTGTAACTGTAGCTGGAGAACTACTTGAGCCAGGACTGGCAGAATAAGAGTGAGAGTAAGGTGTTGCAGGATTCAACATAGCACTTCTCTTGTGAATATTGGTGCTGTCCTGAGTAGTTCAGTAGAACTTGATTCATAAAACTACTTAAATGTATGAGGGTGCATCCTACAGCTTGTTACTCTGGTTAGTCTTTACTGACAATTTGCCTTTCACGCCTCCGAAAGATAAAGAGAAGCAATATTCTGCAAAATATTTAAAGAGGGAAGGGGTACAGCAGTGACAATTTGTGCTCCATGAGGATAGTTTAACATCAATATTAGCACATGGCTTTTAAACCAGCTTGTTTGAAGTGAATCTGAGGACTAAATATGGAATTATTGTCTACCTTGTAAAATTCTCCAGCCACTGCTTGTATGAGTAGTCAAATATGGAGAGAAGATGAATTCTGATCTATCATTAAAGGAAAACTTACTGCATCCATGCTGTGTAGTTTCTAAGAAAAGAAGTCAGCCTACATTTGTCATTCTGGGAACTAAAACCAGTTCAACATTCAAGAACTACACAGCCCTATTTATTTAATTTGTGTATGTCACAAACAATTAATTCTTAAATGATAACCATGATAGCCACTATCTTTAAATGAGTACAGCTAGCAGTCTCCACCCCTGGGAAGCTTTAGACTAAACAAGCATGGAAAATGAATCACTAGAAAGAGTGCCAGCATAGATAATCATAGGGACGGCATTGTTATTGATCCCATATAGTCTGTTTGCACCATATGGGGTCTCTGAAAGACAAACTCATGTGTCCTTGCTAAAAATCTCTCTGATTTGGAAAATGCATTCACAAATTCTTCTATTCACTCTTGTAAAATGACGTATTTAAACCAAGTAGTAGATAACATTTTTTAAAAGCCATATCCTTTTAATGTATAAAATGCTAATGCAGGAAGGAACAAAACATTTGGGTAAAGCTGTAGTTAATGTGGTCATCATAGTTTAAATCCTCTTCCATATCTGTTTTGAATCTGTAGACGTCCAGTTGGAGATAGAAGATAACAAATTGTACTAGTCAAAGTGAAAAATGTTTAATTTATAAGTTAACATATCTAAGAATTTCTGATGATTCCAAAAAATGAATGTATCAGAAAATGAGCATAATTTCTACTGATGATTTGTGGATGCGAGGGATACTGTGGAATGAAGCATTTGTATATGCAACTTTGCTTAGTAACCGCACTTATTTTTATCCATTATTAGCTCAGCATAGTTTAATCATTAGACTAGCTTAATAGTTAAATTCTGTGGGTTTATATGTGAATTCAGAGGCAATATACCATGATAAAGTAAGATCCAACTTTATTAGTTCTACTAATGTTCAAAGTCAGTTGTGGAAGTTATTAGTCTTGATAATATTCACTAGCTTAGTAGACTTGGGGGCAATTGAGAAATGTTTGTAGCAGTGCAAGGAAATGTTAACTTTTTTGGCCTCCAAGGGTGATTGAAATTGTTTCGTCTCAGAAAGCAACACACTTTTTTCTCTGTTTTTCTTATTTTTCCAATCAAGATTAGATACTGCTTTTGGCAATTTGGTGATAACCACAGAGACTTTAATACCACAGACCGTTAACCAAGCTGTTTTATCAGCCAAAATTCTCGGTTATCATCCTCTGCCTTCCCTTTGAGAAATATAAATACTGAAGAGATATGAGTAAACCATACAGTTTCTGATTTTTGTATGTGGCTATTTTGCTATGAAGGTTATAAAGGACAGAATATATTGCAGGAGAACATAATGTCCTCTTTGTTAGCAGGAACAACCACTTTATCACAGTAAGATTAATCAGTAGCATTTTTATCTTTTCTTTCTTCAGGTCAAACTGTAATGTCTCATATAATAAAAGACACAACTAATACAGAAGATGATAGAAACTTCTCTTTTAATTATGATTTAAGAAGGATTAAACAATGGAAAGTAATTGTTTAGGACAGATGACACAGGAAAATCCAATTTGAGCTGTGTCCTGTATTGTGTTTAAAAATAACACCAAGGAAAACATCCTAGAATTTTTGGTCAAACATGGCAATATATCCAACAAGATATTTAATAGCTTCTCAAGATAAAGCATTTTCATCAGGACTAAGTATCAAAGTGATATAAAAACCTCTGGTAAGCAGTCTGCAGGGGAAATTTTCATCAAATAAAGTGCTGATGCAATAAACTAATGTTGATATCACAGACAAAATCTAATGTAACTGTGAAGGGGCATTCTGTAATGTTGTAGTCACTACCTATGACCTTCTGTGTAGGAGGCATGCTGCACACTGCTAACAGGAGGGCTACAACCATGTTCAGGGTTTATCATCTCTCCATCCTTTAACTCTTTTTATCTCATCAAATCTGCATCTGGCAGTTGGTGACAGACAGATAAACTACTGAGAAAACAACAACAAACCCAACAGAAAAATTAGTGGTAGGATTCCTGGACTTTATCTCAAGATACTGTTGCTGGACAAAGGCTATACATATTTAGCCATCCTGTAGCTAGGTCAAATGATAAAGTCTTTTTCTTTTAAACCTTTCCTTCCCTTACTAACTTCAGTTCAACCCTGTAGAAGCACTCATCGTTCCTGTTTTTAGCCATGCAGCAACAGAACTCCCAAAGTTAACTCATAGGAAATGGCTGGTAGTACAATACAACTCATTTGTCAGCTGTTTGGGGCTGACAGATGCGATGTCTCATAATAGGCATCTATAGCTACAGGACTCTGCGATGTGTTCATGCCATTACAAACTTGCTCAGATTGTTACTGAAAGACATGCTGGTTGTAATGTGGGCATTCTGTACCTGACTGATAAGCTTCCTGAAGTTCACTGTAGCCAAAAGATGAGACACTTCCAGAAGCGGTATTTTGCTTTTTTGATTGTCAGCATCTCCATTGCTAGCAAGGGGCTTAGGATCTGATTCACAAATTTTAGATCAAAGGGTAAGCTGATGTCAGATAGGATCAGATGTTAACTGTTCAAATCCCTTATTTTGAATCCTTGCTCGTAAGAGCAATGAAGGAAAGCAATGACTAGAGACATGTTCCAGGGAGTAGGAAAGTAAATGTGCCAAAGCTCCAGGCTATGCAGGTGACAAAGTGATATAAAAACCTCTGGTAAGCAGTCTGCAGGGGAAATTTTCATCAAATGAAGTGCTGATGCAATAAACTAATGTTGATATCACAGACAAAATCTAATGTAACTGTGAAGGGGCATTCTGTAATGTTGTAGTCACTACCTATGACCTTCTGTGTAGGAGGTCACAATATGTGGGAGGAGGAGTAGAATCAATATTTTGGACAGTGTATAATGTTTTATTTCTTCAGAAAGGTGGATTTTTTTTTCTTACTGAAATAAAATTGTATACAAATAATATAAAAATAGGAAGACTTGTGTATATCCTATGCCAGAAAAAAAAGTACAAAACAGCACATCCAATTCACTTTGTGCAAGGATCAGAATCGATTCTAAGACATTTACTGTTTAAATTAATGTGAATAATTGATTTATCCTCTGTGTAATTTTAGCGAGATGCAATTGTACATAACACTAGTGGTTTGTCATTCAAAATTGGATTTAGTAAGTCTGGTTGTCAGGTTTTCAGCTGATTCTTTCTGATTGCACTTTTTGCATTCATAACTCTCTGAGTTTTTAGGATTCACAAAAAGCTGAAATGCTAAGCCCATCGAAAACCACCTCCCCTACAAAGCTTCTGTATGTTAGCAGTGGTTTTGTGAATAACTAGCTCAAAGCTTCTGATCAGTCTTGGGTTTCAGGCGTGAATCCAGCACTGCAAAATTTGAAGTTAATGACATCTTAAATTATATGGCAAAAGATTCTACAGATCTCATTTGATATCACTGCGCAAATGTGCTGAGCATATCACTTACAGGTAATAAGCAGTAATGCCAAAAGACTGTGCAGTGTGAAACAAGGCAGAAAAAAAGGAAGCAGCTCCTCTTTACTGAGGCACGGAGACTGAATGAACCAGAGTTTTAGAGAGCCTGAGACAGATCCAAGAGTGGACCCCTGTTCTCTGGAGACTCCGAGGGCTTGACTGGAGGACTGTTCTTCCTCACTTGTGGACAGCAGTTTGTAAAAGGTCAGAGGTATCAACAGAAAACTACATGAAGACTACCTCCTTTAAATTACCCCCCCCTTCAAAAGTCAGAGATTATTCCAATGAGGAGCTGGGGAATTTACATTACTGCACAGAGAGAGGGCACTAGATTTGAGGGAAGACTAGTATATACACACAGGCAATGACATAAAAACACCTCCCAGCAACAGTCATTCCAGAACAATGCTTGTTCCAACAAAGTATATGAGAAAATATTTACAAGCCAAAAAAGAAAAGGAGAGCATTTGAAACAAATGTAAAGAAACAAAATAGTTGAATCAGAGGGATCAAGTAAAGACAT